CTCTTTACTTTTTTTTCTAAGTTTATTGCTAACTATATAGTCTTTATACATAGTTTTGAATTCTCTAGTATAAACACTAATACAATGTTTTTTCTCTATTTGTTTTAATTGTGTTTACTTTAGCTTTATATATATCTTGATAAAGACTAATAATATTCTAATTTGGGCAAATATGTTTACTAGAATTTTAGTCAAATACTTTTCTTCCTTGGATAAAATTATTTTTTGAATTAAACTCTGTTTATTTTTTGCTTATAGAAAGTAGTGAAGGTAGTATTTTAGAAATTCAAATATATCTTCTGACTAGATAATTCATACTACAATCTTTTCTCTCTATATATTTCTTTGCCTAATCTTATTACCAACATTTTTTTTATACACATCATTTAAAAAAAACATTTATTTTTTTATCCTCCAATATCTTCTGCTTACTTATGCAAGAAAGTTTAATTTTAGATTTGAATGAAATCTAAAAAGTATTATCAAGCTGGTCTACAACAAAGCTAGGTATATTAACAAACTTTCCAAGAAATATCTTGGGTTTGCTATTTATTCTCCTTATTGTTGTTATTTTGTTTTACTACCTTAGCTTTAAACTCAACAATTGCATTATTATGCTTGGCATTCTTAGCAACAGTATTTGTTCTACTCTTCTCTAACTTCTTGATTTTACTCTTGGGCTTGGCTCTTAGCTTCAAGATCTCATTTATAGTATTGTTATACTTGGCCTTAATATCAGTATTCTCAACCTTAAGCCCAGTAATCTTAGCTATAAGTCTGGCATTCTCCTGTCTAAGTAAGTCAATCTCAGATTTCATTTTCAAAAATACTTTTTCATACATTATATACAGTCAAATCTCTCTATAATCACACACTTAGAATACAAAAATGGGTGATTGTATAGAAATATGATAGTTATAGAGGTTAAATTTATTATATTTAATAATAGTTTATTTTTAAAAAAATATACTTATAAAGAAAATATGCTTATATAGAAGGTGACTATAGAAAGGTTAGACTGTACAAGCATTCAAATAAAAAACGTTATTTTGGGCAACCCAAGGTTGCTAAAATTTTGCCAAGAAAATTTTCATTTATATATAACATCGATATTTTTTCTTGCAAGCTTGAAAAAAGATATATAGTTAACTAATATATTAAAAAAAAAAATGTTAACTAACTATATCTAGCTTCGA